TATTGCTCCAAGGGTTCAGGGGATCTCGTAGTCGAGCAGTCTCGACTAGAGCTTTCTTACTTGTTTTGCTTGAGTATTTACACTTTTCTAACGGAATCATATACTCAGGCTAATAATAGCACGCAGATGAGTAATGAAGAAATTGCAAAAACAATATATATATTACAAATAATCGTATCCATGTTTAAGCATATTTTATGTCTTGACAAGCTCATCAGCAATAACCGGAGCCAAGGTTGTATCGCTCGCTTTAGACATCCTTTTGTAATGTACCTTTGTTAATGGCGTCACAAATAGCCAAAGTTTTAAACAGCATGTTAATGTGACGTATATGGATGTATATGGGTGGGTGTCTTGTAGGTGTACGGGTGTACGATGAAATGGGGCGGCGGTTTGTTGATTTTGGCTTTTTGACATTTTTTTTTTTTTTTTTTGCTTTTGCGTTGTCATGCCGTGGGAATTTCACTTTAATTATATGGTATTATATTATCTGGGCTTGTTTATTTTTTATACAATTCCACAAATCTATATTTTGAAAAATTGGCATATTTTTGGTAGGCTCACAGAGCTGTGTGTTGGAAAATGCGTTACGATTCTGTGCCAATGCCAAACAACAATTTGAAGTTCACTGAAAAGTAGCAACAACAAGATGCTACTAAATTGAGCACAGTGAATCACACAGGCAACTTTATTTTCGAATTTTCACAGCTACGTGCTGCAACAGTATATAAAAGTAATACGAAAAACAAAGCTCCCGCTGTTTGAACTTTTTACGTTCATCATCATGAGGGGGGTATGATGGGGGCGGCGTTCATGCTTAAATACATACATAGCCATATACATATATGTTAGCAGCTCGCAACTAGAGAGAGAGAGAGAGAGAAAGACTGATGAAGAGAGTAGTGCAGGCAATGTCAAAATGCCACAATTACTCTATTTAGCACCGATTTGTTTCAATGTGTATTACAAATATATATACGTATAATTAACGTGTGTGTATGTGTGTCAGTTGAAATGTTATCAATACGCACACAAAAGTAACGACCGACTCAAAAGTTGCAGCTGTATTTCGAAATAATTCAGTCACTGCAAATGCATGTGATTCATGACGCGGTTTTGAGCCGATGACGCCTTTCGCATTGTTGCTTAGCCTAGACAAATGTGCAACAATGTGGGTGACGAAGTGTTATTTTCCTGATTTTCTTATCATGACTCTCCATGACAAAATTGGCCTAAAACTGGCAAATAGTAGTCACAGGAAACAGTTATGTATATATCATCTACCTAAGTGTGTGATAGGTTATGTCATTAAAGATTGGGAGTTTGTCTACGCATAGATAGCGAATATGCGAATGTGAGTGTGGATAGCCGATAATATGGAAAAGCAAACAACTACAGTGGATACTAAGTTGAGGTAACTAATGATAGAATATTTATTTTCAGCATATCACAAATTCCGCAGTAATTATATAAATTAGCATATTAGGCGCCTAAGAGAAATTTATTATATGTATTTTGTTTATTTGTTGTGCACTTACAGAAATGGTGGAGGCCATGAAGAAGGTCGCTTCCATGGACGTTGAGCTGACCGTTGAGGAGCGTAATTTGCTATCGGTTGCCTACAAGAATGTAATCGGAGCACGTCGCGCTTCATGGCGCATCATTACCTCCATTGAACAGAAGGAGGAGAATAAGGGCGCTGAAGAGAAATTGGAAATGATTAAGACCTATCGTGGTCAGGTGGAAAAGGAGCTGCGCGACATTTGCTCGGATATATTAAATGTGCTCGAGAAACATCTCATTCCATGCGCCACGTCCGGCGAAAGTAAAGTATTCTACTATAAGATGAAGGGCGATTATCATCGTTATTTGGCCGAATTCGCCACCGGTTCGGATCGTAAGGATGCTGCAGAGAACTCGCTGATTGCCTATAAGGCAGCAAGTGATATTGCCATGAACGATCTGCCACCAACACATCCCATCCGATTGGGTCTGGCTTTGAACTTCTCGGTAAGTTAAATAACGCAGATAATGTTTGATTGAATATCAACTCATTAAATGCATTTTATTTGATTAATCTTAGGTGTTTTACTATGAGATTCTCAATTCACCGGATCGTGCTTGCCGCTTGGCGAAAGCCGCATTTGATGATGCCATCGCTGAGTTGGATACGCTAAGCGAAGAGAGCTACAAAGACTCGACACTGATTATGCAGCTTCTGCGGGATAACCTCACATTATGGACGTCCGATATGCAGGCAGATGGTGCGTAATCGCCTCATAAATGATATTGATTTATCATATATTATTCACTTCCATTTGACTAATGTAATATATATTTTTGTCCTTTTCATAAATATAGATTCCACAACAGGCGATGGCGAACCCAAACAGGAAATTCAGGATGTTGAGGATCAGGATGTGTCGTAATTTAAGTAAACCCCCGCCCTTCCATTTAAAACACAAAACAAAACAAAAACATATACCTTCTAAAGTAAATATAATACATATAATATATATGCATGCAACAATAAAAGAACACGCGCAACCGGGTAGTAAACAAGAATTACAACAAAAACAGCATCATCAGCAACAAAACATCAACAGCACCGATACGCGACAACTACTCCAAGGGCAGCAGCAACCACATTAAAATTTAACAGCAGAACAGAAGAACACGAAAAATAATAACAACAATGGCAACATCTACACATCAGTAGCAGCATCAACAGCAGCAGCAATACCCACAAAGTACATACAACAAATTCAGCAGAAAGCGGCACAAAGTGAGGGTGGTAATGGGCGTGGCTCTTGTTGGGGCTAGATTTAGGTGCAGCCATCGTCGTCTTCGCTGTGAAATGCGAATCTGTGCCCTGGCTCCCAAAGCTATACAGCAGCAACAGCAACAACAAGCAACTACTACACTTGAAATTTTTTGCATTCGAGAAACAAAAGCATTATATTATATTTAAATAAATATTATATTTAATTCTGAGAAGCGAAAACAAAATAAACTCATTTCAAACTAAATACACACACTCTCACACACACACACACAGTAAGCAAAACGTACATTTCATTGAAAGTTGGCATATTAATCATTTTACAATCTTATCAGCATAAAAATGAGAACTACACATCTTCAATTTTAATTTTAAGCCAGTCATAAAAGTAATGAAATGAAATAAATTAAAAGGAAATAACACTCAAAAATAAAAATACAAAAATTAATAAGCGCAAATTGAATTAAAGAAAAGCAAAGAAAAGCGTAAAAACAAAATACCAAAACAAAATGTGTGAAGTAAATGCATGAACAAAACAGCAACAATTAATTTTAATTTAATACGAAACGAAAAGCAAATATGAAGTAAGAACGAAGTGAGCAAACAAAAACAAAGTCAAGCTTGAATAAGAATAAACTATGAGGCGAAAAAAGGAATGTTAGTTAAAGCGAAATTCGCACGAATAAATTTAAAACGAATTCTTAAGCTTAAATTTGTATGTATGTTAGTGTATTGTTCAAAAGTCACGGAGACACTGACACAAACACGAAAATCAAACACTCGGAGCAATCAATCACCATTTAAGGAAATAGAAGAGCTTTCTTCTCGGTTAACTATTTGATTTCTCTAATTCTCTCACCGCTCTATTGCTCGCAAGTAAAAGATTTAGGCGCAGTTTATGTTAGTGTTTTGATAATTACAAGAGTTTGTTTAACGTTTTTGATATCACTTCGACACAAACATTTCAAAAAACAAAAGTATTTGTAGTTGCTAAATAAATGGTACACATATATTTAAATATATATTGTATACATCTTAGTATATATACATTCAGATATATGTACTTGTATATTTTCTATGCCTACCACTTATGTAACTTGTAGAGAATTCGAATTCGAATATTTCCACATGAAATGATCATCCCAAAATAACTACCTGCGACAAAATGTTTGCATTTAAAAACAATAATAAGAACAAGCCAGTAATTATATAATTTATTTTAGCTGAAAATGAAAAGTCAGAAACAAAGTTTATGTTTTCCCTATTTGTTGCTGCGTTCCAGGAAAACAATTTGACCAGAACAACAAACTTAATAACCAAATTGAAAAGCATTCCGTTTCAAAAACTTTCTGTCTGCACTTGTGAATGAGAAAATTTTATAAGTATATACCCGAATATATATATATATT